TCCTTAAAGTAGCCAGGCTTGATGTATAAATGTATGAAACGCATTCTTCAAGCAGATAGAAAAAAAAGAGGCTAGGTACACAGAGTCAATAAATAGGCCAAGTTTAAGGAGTACAGAAATCAGAAGAATAAACAGCTCTGATTCCATATACAAAAAAACAAAACAAATAATCAATAAGAAATGCACTATCGAATAGCTAAAACCATGAAAGGGCAATGAATAGACTGTGGTGTGGTCTTGAATAACTCCTAAAAATATTCTAATGTTGATGATATGACACAAATCAGGTGGGGTATAGGTAGTCACCAGAGTCTAGTGCAGTGTTCTCAGCCTTCCTAATGCCGCGACCCTTTAATACAGTTCCTCATGTTGTGGTGACCCCCAACCATAAAATTATTTTCGTTGCTACTTCATAACTGTAATTTTGCCACTGTTATGAAACATAATGTACATTTCTGATATGCAGGATGTATTTTCATTGTTACAAATTGAACATAATTAAAGAGTGTGATTAATCACAAAAACAATATGTAATTATATATTGAGAAATATTTATGTCTAATTACAAATAAAATGAAATTTTGTCTTGAAGCATGGTGTAGCATGGGTAACAGTCTTAATATAATGACAGTAAACTACATTGCTGCATTTTACATTTTGGACAACGTGGGCGCTCAGATCCAGGCTATCTGGGTATATAATAGTTGTGGGGGTTCCTATATGTTTATTATGTATTTTTATGTGTTCTAAAATTTTATGTAATACATGCCTTGTCATGATACTCGAATTTGTGTACATTTTGTGGGAGTTTTCTGGGTGGGGTTTACTGCATCCTGGTTTTGTATATAAGTGGGCCATAAGGCCATGATTAGACACATTCGTTTCGACCCTTGAGTGCCGTGCAAAGGGGCCTCAAGTGCCATGCAGGTTGCTGACCCCTGCACTAGAGGCTGAATTAGTGCTGCAATGTAAACATTGTAGTTTCATGGACAGGGACATTGCATCCAGACCACTTCAATGAACTTAAGTGGCCTGGGTGCCTATAGTGTCCCTTTAACTTTCCTACTTACTAAAATTGATAAGTATAATGCCAGGAAAAGAGGCAAGAGTTGTACAGGAGGACATGCCAATGATGTAATTTGTGTTACAGGTAATGGTCTCAACTGTAAAAAGGGAGTGTTGATGTACTTTGAAGGGGTGCCAGGCAGTCCATATGCAGAGCACTATTGAAGCACACTGGAAAAGCTTACATTGCTATGCCAGAATAGGAATACTAGAGAAAAAAAATACACATGACAGAAACCCAAAATCGACACTGTCCTGCTGAAAATGTGACAACTGGCGAGGAATTAATATTTCTCCCAATTTACTACCAGTGACACAATGTCCTCTGTTTGTATCAGCTGTGTAAATAAACCTATGCATGCATTGGGTGAAATACAAAAAAGCAATTTCAGGGTCAAAATGCCAAACACTGTGTAATAAGCTGGTACATCTCATTTGATTATTTAGTGAATCATCACAGCATTTTGCATATTTGTTCTTTATAGATAGGGTCCAATATGTCTATAATATCTATAATGGTATTTATTAATTAATGACTTTACATCATAAAGAAAGCAGTTAGTGTAATGCTTTGGAGGCACCACTAGGGCAATGTGTAGGAATTCATGTGCTTCTGGCAGTGACATCACAGGTCAGCTACTTACACAGAAAAAAAGCCAGATTGTAGGAAGCATTCAGGTATCTTTTGAAACAGTCAGTCTCTCTCTTTGGTTCTGCCCTTCACTGCCTAAGAATGTAGCAGCTGATGGCCCCAGCTCCACAGGCTGGGGCCTGTGTAAGTTTGTTCATGTTTTGTACCATGTGAAACCATTATAACATTTAGCAACTGTTATAGCCTTTTGTAAGTAATATGTTGTAGTTTTGTATTGTATAATTATTGTGGCAAATTGACATTCTGCTAGCATCTGTTTATTTATTATAGTTATATTAACCCCTTCAGAACCAGACTGTTTTTGCGATGGTTGTACGTTAAGGACCAGAGCTATTTTAACACTTTTGTGGTGTTTGTGTTTAGCTGTAATTTTCCGCTCTCTCATTTACTGTTCCCATACAAATTATATATTGTTTTTTTTTTTTAAGACAAAAAGGGCTTTCTTTACATACTATTATTTTTATCATGTCATATAATTTAATTTTAAAAAAATAATAAAATATGGTGAAAAATTAAAAAATAAAATTTTTTTGACTTCTACTTAAAAAAAATCTTTTACTGATCTACAAAATCGAATGTAACAAACTGCTAAATAGATTCAAAATTTTCTCCTGAGTTTAAAAACACCCAATGTTTACGTGTTTTTTGGCTTTTATTTGCAAGTTTTATAGGGCTATAAGTACAAGTAGGAAATTGCTGTTTCAAAATGTACATTTTTCAAATGTATCAATAGTGACATTGTAACACTGTTATGTCATAAATCTCCAAAAAAACACCCCACATGTATATATTTTTCTTAAACTAGATAATCCAGGGTATTCATCTAAGAATATTTTGTTTTGAATATTTTTATTGTATGTATAACATAAGTTCACACGTCAAACTGTTTTGTAATAAAGTGAGTGCCCACGCAGGGGCCTAAGCATTGGTTAACACAGTATATACCTTCGGTGCCTGCGCAGAGACGGATCCATCTTAGCCTGTTTATCTTAACTTTTTTTTGTTTTTGTTGTTATTATTATTATTATTATTATTATTGATATTGATTCACAGTCGGTTGTTTTGTGCTCTATACTTTTATGTACTGTGTAGCCTTTGAAGTTCAGTTAGAGTGTTAAATAGGTGTTTTGAGTTGGCTGGTGTGTGCAAGTGTTGCGTGTTTGCTGGTTAGTAGATGCAAAATTGTCGCCCTGTGCTGAGGCAGGTTAATCTGCTTGCTAGTTAGATGCGGTCATTAAGCCATAATTGAAAATACAGGAGCTTTCCCAGCTTTAATCATAACATAAGGAGCCTATTCGTTTTTAGGCAGCTGTGCATTAATATATAATATGTGTTTGGACCTCATCATGTAGATGTTGTGCTCGGCAGGTCCCTGCGTGTTTTGCGTCTGTTAGAAGTTTTCGACTTTCTGTTGTGTCTGTTAGAGTCTGCATGTGTTATTGACTGTGTCAATTTTCTCAATTTTTATCGTAATGCATTTGCAGGTGACATCGGTGCGAGTATTGAGGCATTGTTTGCCCGCGCAAGGGCATACGTTTTCCATACAGACATTTGTGAGCTTTTTGTCGCCTACGCAGAGGCTGGTTGGTTATTGCCTGCTTGATACAGTACATAGGTATCAATTTGTTTGCTTGCTGTGTCTATCTGCGTGACTTATGGTGTGCCTTTGTTGCGTTCGCTCAGGCTTGTCTGGTTTTGGGAGTTTTGTATCGTGTGTTACCTGTGTAAGTTGTGTCTGCGGGCCCTGTCGTATCTGGTCTCTGGTTGCTCTGGTCCCGTGCTAGGTGTATCTCGCTTTTCTGCTGGCGGTGTTTGGTCTATTGATTTCCTGTTTGTGTCTCCATATTAGAATGGAAATCATCTGACATTGTGCCATATCCTACCATGTATGTGTGTGGCTGCTGTCTGCTCACGTGTCTGTTGCGCTGTGTAGTTTAATGTTTCGTTGCCGTGTGCGACTGGCCCCGTGTAGCTTTTGTCCGCGTATTCAGTGTGGTGTTCTGCTTGGCGTGCTAAGGAGCATTTATGAGTAATCTAGTACATCTCAGTGGTTCGTGTGTTTCAACTGTGGTATGTCTCCCTATCTTATTGTGGTGTAGCCTGCCTGGAGGTCCGTGTTTCAGTGTGTATACATCGATTTTGCTCGGAGTATGGTTATTGGTTTGACAGCGAGGTTCTTTGGGTATACGTGATTGTGTTTGGGCTAGTGTTTGTCCCCGTGGGTGCCTGGTCTGCCGTGGATGAGGTGGGGGTTCCGTTGTTACTGTCCTAACCATCCTTGTTCCTGATTATGTCTTTGTTGGTGTTCGTGTGCGTGCTTCGTGGTTATCTTGTCTGTGTGTAGAGTGTTCATCTCAGGTAGCGTCGGTCAATGTCTTAATGTGGTGCTGTCTGGGTGCGGGTTAGGGTGGGATGGTTGGGGTAGTGTCAGGATTACTGTTTGATCCAGCACGTAGAACTGTACAGCACGGATGACAAATAAGTAACGTATTACCGGTCCTTAGAATGGCCGGATTTAACGTACAAAGAATAGTCAAAAATACTAGCCGAGGTCAGGGAACACAGAAAGGGACACAGCGATGAGGAAAGCCAGGAGTCAGGATACCAGAATATAGAGAAGTCAATAAACAAAGCCAAAGTAAAAAACCAGGTAGAAAACTATAAACAGGAACGCGCTCTCAGACAACCACAAGGGAAACCACGACAGGGCACTGAGCAGGCTGAGAACTGGGCCTAAATACCCCTCCTTTAGTTCTGATAGGCTGTAACCGGCCTTTGACCCCAAAGTCAGTAACCAGGTTTCATTTGCATTCGCTTCTCGTAGTGCTTTCTTCCTCGTCTTCCCGTCGAGTTTCATGGCGCGATTATGTGACGTCTGAATGAGTCCGACGTAAT